TCAAATGTGCTTGAGACACTTTGGTTTTGGACAGCTTGTGCATATACTACAAGTGCTTTGGACATAATAATCCATAGTAAAACTCTTGGTTTTACTCATTATGATAGTTTAATGTCATTGAAGTGTAATTGTTTCTTGATTGTGAGGTATGGTGTTTCGATGCCATTCATTGATGGCTCACCTTGTCCTCTATTCATTTTTCATTTCACATTTGCCTTGTTTGGCTTGGATTTATTTCTTTGCACTTTTGTATATTATTTCATGATTCTGCACAGCTGAATTTGTACTAAACATTAATTTAGTCAATCAGTAATTTAGGACATATTGAAAGAATGATCCAGTTTCAAATTTTGATTGTATCTCCAAAATGATTGCATGAAAATCCGTGGTATAGTTTGTATGACAAAAGTCTTCATCTTCAATTCATAAAAAGCTCCAATTTATTCAAAGTTAATGGTCAATTCATACATTTACTGTAGTTGCTCTGTGTTAAATTTGTAATTTGTTTTTAATTCACATCATCAGGTGATAATTATTATTCAAATTGTTTGGAACGATTTAAGTGTTTGACTTTCACTGAATATTTTTGTTTCTAATTTTAGTTTTTTATAAACTTTTTTTTTTGCCAATAGTATAATTTCATTTGTTAAAAGCTTTTTTTAAGACCTCAGTTTCATCTAAAAAAAATTATAAGTGCATTTTTTTCTGAACACATTTTCTTTTGTGGTAACCTTTAATAAAATGTGCATTTTTCTTAATTTGTGTTTTGTTTTTATTAATGAACTCTTGATATTTTCAATTTTCTTTCTTTAGTTTAGTTTTTCTCTTGTTATTATATATTTTTTATTAATGACTTTTATTATTAGCGTTTTAAAAGAAACTGAGGTCTTATTTTGCTGGTGAAAAAACTAATTAAATTACAATCCTATGATAGAACCTTGTGTATCAGTCTAGCCGAACATCATTAACGCAAGATTAGATCACCTAGAAATGATTCAACTTCTAGTCTTCCCAGCTTGATAATCTACTTGTATGAAAGTCTGAATGGTGTCTTATGCACGTCTATTGAGCACACCACCTCAAAGTTATCACTGCTGTACACACCCATGTATAGTGAGATACGATTATCTCTGCTCCTACTTACA